CTATGTGCGGCTCCAACCAGCCCTTTACCATGCCCCAAGCCTTGCTGATTTACCGGACACTGTTCAGTCTTATACTCTCTTCAGCTCTCGGGCTCTCTAACCTTGGTGCCCTGCTACAAGCATTATGTAGGGTGCCATAACACATGTGTAGATGGTGACTAGGGCTGGTTGGGACATGAGAGTGCTTCAATGTGGGGGCTGCCTACCAGCTAGCCCCACACTGGAACACCCTTGTGCCCCAGCCAGCCCTTCAACAACACATTGAACTGGATTGGAGCAGCTCAGGCTAGCAAGCTGACCCCCTGGGCCTCCTGCCATTTGGGGCTGTTCTGACCCACAGTGACCATGCATAGGGAGTGCACAGGCATGCACTTACACCCCCTGGGAGTGCTGGTGCACCCTCTGACTGGCTGTGCTCACCACTTAGGCGATGGGCAGGGGGCAGGTGGAAGCGCCAATGCCCACCCTGTAAGTGCTGGCCGATCACTGCAACCACTGCAGCCACTTCCAGGAGTGTCTGTGGCTGTTTTTGGGAGTGGCTGCAGTGATCGGCTGGTGCTTGCTCCCAGAAATGGCTGCAGCCACTCCTGGAAGTGGCTGCAGCAATTGCAGTGATTGGCTGCAGGAATAGGCCATTGTGGGATTGCCTGGGGGACCCTGGGAAACCCCTTCCCCAGTCCATAGGATCACCCACAAGGGACCCCCCCCCAGTCGGTGGGACTGGTCACAGTGGGGAAACGTGACCCCCTCTCACCCCAAGTAAGGCAGCACCATTCACCCATGCTGAGCCAGATCAATGTGCTGCAGTCCTGAGAGCAATCTACATGTGTAAATGTGGTGCCTGGGAGCAATAAACTCTGGTGCAAACTGTGTCAGAGTTTATCCAGTCAAAGTAATTGCACGTGTAGATGTGCCCTCTGGGTGCATAAGTGTCCCCATTACAGAAATAAGGAAATGGCTGTGCATTTCTGGAGGGCAATCCTATTCCACTTAGGAACCCAAACGGGATAATAGAATAGAATTGCTCAGACATAACAGTTGGGTAACTCAAACTTACCCTCAGGCTGCACTTCGGTTTTCTGCTGTTTACTGTTTTTAACAGCTGGACTTCAATTATAAAACATTATGTAATAAAGATTAAGCATATTGATTAGTCATTAATACTTTTATGAATAAATATGAAACCCAGGTAGTCTTCCCAAGAGAAAGAATTTAGGACTTTTTTTAGAAACCTGGAATATGAGCTCAGGGAGATCTAAGGGAGATATAAGGGATAAAGGCAAATGAGAAAACAAGCGTTGTTGTTTTTTGGGGGGGTGGGTGTTGGTTTGGATTTGTCCTGTCTGTACCAAAACATTTTACTGCTAAAGGCTGTCACAAGCTGGAACAACCCTGAATTTGTGCTGTTCAAATTAAATCACTTCTCTGAGTGCATGCCTACATGTGTATTTGCATGTGCCTAAACTTAATGTAGCCTTTGCTTAAGGCACATTAAGGAGATTTAGCCATGCATCTACACGTTGATGTGCTAATGCGCCTTAAGGCACTTTAACTTTTAAGTTAAATTAGCTAAGTTGCATTAGCCCACATGCAGATGCACTAATGCACTTTAATGAGGTGCTGTTGATTGACGCACACCACATTAATGCACATTAAGCACCTACATGTGGGCTAATGGGACTTGGCTAATTGTGCCTAAATTTGATACCTGCTTTATGCCTGTACCAAATTTAGGTGGGTGCATTAAGGGTACACACATGTGGACATGCACCCTTAATGTGCCTTATAAATGGCTATTTTAGGCTAATCCCACTTAAAAGGGGTATGTGTAGACATGCCCTGAATGACTTAAATTTTGGATCAGAACTATTCCACTGCTACAATGCATATACAAGTTACTGGCTTACCTATACCAGCAAACAGTTCTGCAGTAATAATTCTAGGGTGCTCCTATGCCTGCAACATATGCTTTTGAAAAGCCTCTCTTCATATTAGTCCAAGTCTGGGTATGGACAAGTGTTATATTTCATAGATTCATAGATTCAAAGATGTTAGGGTTGGAAGGGACCTCAATAGATCATCGAGTTTGACCCCTGCATAGGCAGGAAAGAGTGCTGGGTTCAGATGACCCCAGCCAGATGCCTATCTAACCTCCTTTTGAAGACCCCCAGGGTAGGGGAGAACACCACCTCCTTTGGGAGCCCATTCCAGATTTTGGCCACTCTAACTGTGAAGAAGTTCTTCCTAATGTCTGGTCTAAATCTGCTCTCTCTTAGCTTATGGCCAGTATTTCTTGTAACTCCCAGGGGTGCCTTGGTGAGTAGAGCCTCACCAATTCCCTTCTGCACCCCCATGACGAATTTATAGGCAGCCACAAGGTTGCCTCTCAATCTTCTCTTGCAGAGGCTGAAGAGGTGCCCTGGTCTCTCTTTGTAGGGGCTTGGCCTGCAAGCCCTTAACCATACTAGTGGCCCTTCTCTGGACCCTCTCCAGGTTATCCACATCCCTCTTAAAGTGTGATGCCCAAAACTGGATGCAGCATTCCAGCTGCGGTCTGACCAGTGCCCAATAGAGGGGAAGTATCACCTCCTTGGTTCTGTTTGTCATGCGTCTGCTGATGCACGATAAAGTGCCGTTAACTTTGCTGATGACTTCATCACACTGACATCTCATGTTCATCTTGGAGTCCACTAGCACAAGATCCATTTCTGCTTCCATGCTGCTGAGCAGGTCATTTCCTAGGAAGTAGGTGTGCTGGACATTTTTCCACCCTAGGTGCAGCACTTTGCATTTCTCCTTGTGATAGTAGGAGAAATACTACTCCTTGTTACAGTAGGAGAAATGCTAGTCTCCTGCTAGAAACTGGGAGCATCCATGAAGTTTCTCCCACAGGAAACAGGCTGATTCTAGGATAAAGATCTTCCTCATTTCAACAAGGAAGACCTTTTATGCAGGAGACATTTTCCTGCAGGAATGAACCCCCAGCCCATGGAAATGTTCTGAGTGCCTTCCCCAGACTAGGATGTGAGTGCTGCTGGAATCCAGGCAATCCTAGGGACGAGTGGGCCAGCACGAAAAGGTTACCCATGTGTTCCCCAGAGTGGGGTGACCCCTGGACTCAACAAGAATCCTATGAGTCAAAGTGCACATCACATGACAGGATAGGAATAAGCTACAGAAGTGTACACCAGTGCAGAGAAGGATTTTAGACATGC